TTGCTTTGGCTAGAGCTTACACGATAGAGAAGTTTGAGTACCATATGACAGAGATGTGCAAAACTGATCTGAGGGTGCAGCCTTAGTTGTTCGAAATTGGCTACGAAAGGTGGTCTTGGGCATATTCCAAAGTGAAAAGGTCGACGGTAATGACTTCCAATATTGCAGAGTCAATTAATACAGCAAACAAGGATGCTAGCGAGTTACCAGTAATGCGATTATTGGAGTACATGACAAATTTGCTACAACAGTGGAACAACAAAAATAGAAAAAGTGCAATGGAGACATCTACAGAGCTTGGCGAAAAGTACGACAAACTCATTCGGGAAATCTAATTGCATCGGAGCAAATGACGGTAAAATGAATCAAATATAATGCTGCTTGGCACTGCTGACTTGCATTTTACTGCTTGTATAAGGATGTATAACTCTGTATAATAGTGTATAATGTTCTTTAACTATTTTTTTTAAAAAAAACTATTACAGGTGAGGCCTGCTACGAAGCAGTTATATACTGTGTTTGAAGGGGTAAGGAAAACATAGTGTGCCTTGAAGAGGTAACATGCAGTTGCGGAAAATTTCAAAAGGATGAACTTCCATGTCCGCAGGCTTGGACGGTTTTGAAGAACCAACAGCTGAAACCTGGCCAGTATTGCTTTTTGTACTACAAGAAGGATAAACTCCTTAGAATTTATGAATTTCCAGTGAATCCGATGCTAGAGTAGAGTTTATGGGTAATCCCAATAGAGATGATAGAAGATGTGGTCCTACCACCTAAAGGGAGAAGGGATGCAGGAAGGCCAAGAAAGGAAAGACTCAAACCTGCTTTAGAAAAAGAGTCTAAGATGGCGTTTTCATGTTCTGTGTGTGGACAAGGTAGTCACAATAGAAAGACATGTAGGAATCGACCAAAATAAATAGTTGGAAACATAACACTTCCTATTACATTTGTTGTCATGTTGAGTAGTTAAGTTTCACAAATAATAGAGTTACAAATGTTGAGTAGTTAAGTTTCACAAGCAATTGAGATGTTTCATTATACATGTTTTGATTATCCAATAATAGCGTCTTGCTATTTTTAATGGTGCTAAATATATTGATAGATTGTAGAAATATAAAATACAACTACAAACAATCTATGGTATTATATGTATACAGATGTATAAGTTTGTATAAATTTGTATAACTATGTATATTATTGTATACATATGTATAAACCCTGCTACACTAACAAACTCCAACCATAATGAAAATACATACTTTGTTAAAGGACAAAAGGAACTGAAATATTCATTAAAATGTAATTCATTCACATCCACAATGTGTAATGACTACCACAAATTACACAAAAATAAAAACTTCTATAATATCCTTTAAGGTTACCTCACAAGTAGCAGAATAGTACTTAGACAAAACTAGGCAACAACTTCTGATACATAGAAAAACTACAGTAAAATAGAAAAAACAGAACTACTTTCTCGGTCGTCCCCTCTTCCTCTTCCTGAAAAGTCTCCCTGTGATTTCATTACCACTAATTGCACCGAACTGTTGTTTTTTCCTTCCATAATCCCACAACAGAGATCCCCACCTGGTGCAAAGTGTCTCAATGTCAAAATTATCTTTTCGAATTTCCTTACCAAGGATGAAACACTCAGCAAAGCCAGCAACAAAAGCACCACAATCACTGTAATTAAAAAGAAACAAATCAGATTCAAATAGGTACATTAACAGTAAAATAGTAAAACAATTGAGATTAACCTACCATTTGATCTGTTGGAGCACATTATTAACCAGATTAATCTGCAAAGCATCAGAATGGGATTTATCGGTATATGCACCATTGTTGCAATCAATGCCCTTCTTCACGACATAAAAATCAGAACTCTTCAAGAAGTAAGGTATCAGAATTGCTTAAGGTAATTCAACATCCAAAGCAAGTCTATCATTAATAGCTCCACGGTTAGAGTCATAGATGTGGATGCACCTATCTATGAACTTAAACAACCCCAAAACCCAATGGCCCAATTTTGTTCTTCCGCGCTTCATATAAATAGGGAACAATACATGGTCAATAGTGTGCCACGGTACATTTGCATCACAATAATATCCTCTAATGTACTTTTCTATCTCATGCCCTTCAGGAATCACTGAAAGATCTTGATTCACTTTGAAATTTTTATACAAGGAGTTGATTTTATTATCAAAGCCAAAGTCGGTTGTAGTAAATCGCATGGCAACACTTGGCCCATATTTTCTCCTCTTCCTCAAATAATAAAAGAGGACATTCAAGTGCTGAGACAAGAAATAAAATAGAACAACCATCACTACCAGATTTTTTAAATATAGAAATTTATACACTATTATACAGAGGTATACATATTTATACAAGGTTATACAATCTTATACAATCTTATACTGTGATTATACAAAGCTATGTATACACTATGGGGGTCTCAAACAATAAAGATATGCAACAAATAAAAAAAGCATTAAAACAGAAATTGATTAAATACCGTGTCAATCAATGGTCGACCACAATATGCAAGTGAGTGGAACCAATCCTTCGTGGTCACATGACATGAGCCAAAAGTAAAATCTTCCGCAAGCTTATTTACTTCATCGGGATATATATTTTTGGCACTTCAAATCACAAAAAATAAAAAGTAATCAGAGCTACATTCATTGAAAGTATAAAATCAGAACATGAAAGATAAAAGAAAGTGAAGATACCTTCGCCTTGTATCCATCCCATTATCAACAAACGCGCGAAACTCTTTAGCCAATGGCGACAATGGATCAAAATCATCAATTTCGATCGTGAAAGGATGCTTGATATAAAAAATGAGCTTGTGCGCCGATCCTGATGCCCTCGAATCAAAAATTGGCAAATATGGATATTTGGCATATTTTCCTAGTATTTTCTGTCGAACTGACTGTTCAGCAGAAATGTAATCATCTTCTACGTTTATGATGGTTTGTTTGTAAAGCACAATTTGGGACATATGTAGCGCAGCTAAATCTTTATCGCCAATGTCATCCCAAAATGTGTCACCCTTGACATCACATGCTGCCACTTAGACAGAGAAATCAAAAAATAAAAAACTTTAAAAATGAAGAAAAGAAAAATCAGACAAAAAAAGATAAAATGCAGAACAAATACCATGATCACACACCATTAGTAACTCCCTCGTCAGCTAGCACGTTATCTTGATTCACTTGATTGACAAAGTTAGGAACAACATCATATTGATAGCCATCAAATTCGCCGAGACCAGATGTATTGTCATCAGACACACGCTGAGGAATCTAATAAAAAAACAATAGAAAGAGAAGTCATGTTGAGTGATGATTCACAGAAGGCATAACTGTTGAGTGATTTGGTTTTATCAGTAGACAATTACCTTAAAATCAGTAACATCCTCCCTCGTTTGCTTGGTTTCCTTCATATTCAGAAAACTGAACATTTTTTCAAAGGAAGAAACTACATCATTGTTGAGTGTCGTCACTGTATTAGTAAACTAAAAAAAAAACAAAAGCAAATCAACAACCATGTTTATAACCAAAAAATCATGTATATACAAAAAGTACTAATAAACTACAGAAAAGCTAAAGGTCCAATATCTTCCCAACAACACTCCTTAACTTCTCAACTTCAGCATTCAACAGATCAATGCGCACCAAAGGATCATAACTCAGGTTAGGCTGTCGATCCATATTCTGAGAAAAAAGGTCGTTTAGACTATTGCTCCGTATTCTGAGGATAAGGTCGTTTAGACTGTTGCACCATATTCTGAGGAAAAGGTGGAGATACAACGACAGAATCATCAGTATGAAAGGCAGACTCCACATGCACCTCCCCTGATGCAACATCATCCACATTAACTTCAAAAAGCGTGTCGATATTCAGAGTTGACATCTCTTCACGAGTAGGGGAAATGTTCCTGTAGTTCAACTACAAGAAGAAAAACTGGATTACAATAGTAGAAAAAGGAAATTGTGACATATTAATAAATATACATACAGAAATACTGAAATCATATATGAAGAAGTATTATGGTACAAAATGTTTACCTTGTCGATACTACACATGATCACCCCGCCAGTCAAATCTGCATATGTTGGAGTTTCAGTGACTTTCCAATTAAGAATGCGTGGCACATTTGTGCCAATGCGAACATTTAGATGCTTGTCAATCATAGAGCAACACTCAAAAAACCATATTTGTAATGCAAGTGGCAAACCTCCAAGCCTATACATTGTCAAATAGTCACACTATATGTCCCTCATTGTCTTTAAAATATCTTCAAATGACTTTTTTCCCCAAGCATACGTCTGATATTGACTACTTTCAATGATATCAAAATCATCTTTGTTGATACCATGATTATTGGCATCTGAGAATATGAAATGATGGACAAACACCATCAAGGCCATCTTGAATGCATCTTCGTCCGACTTCCAGTCCTTTTTCTGGAAGCGATCAAGAAGCTGCCCCCTCGTTATAGCCTTTTTTCCATCTTCTGGAAAGTACTCTTTTAGCAACCTATTAACATCTGGTTTGTCACAGAAAGTGTGGTGTCGTCTTCTACACACTTCAAACCAGTGATAACAACAAACTATCCAATGCTAAAACGCAGCAAACAACCACTAATTTTCACCCACAAATCCCTTTTCCCGTCCTGGGACGACTTCCCTCAATAATATACAATGAATAAGTTGATTTTGAATTTGAAATTGAGAGAGGTTCAAGAAGTACCCAAAACAACTAGCACGGAACATTTAAAGTTGCGCGCCAGTCAAACATTACTTCAAAATGCTCACAATATCAGTTTAAGTATGAGAACTAATCTTGTTGTGGAAATGATCAACTAGTTGTATATAGAAGTCCCCAACCTTGCATATGAAAAATAACAAGAAATAGATCATAAACAAAAACTATACTAAAACATTTTATAAAAATGTATAAATCAGTGTAGCAGTACTTGTATAAAGATGTATAAACAGCTGTATAACTTTGTATAAAATTGTATAAGCATGTATAAATTAATAGCAACACAGGGAATACCTTCAACGTAGCTTTTCTCTCATTCAATTTGCAGCGAATAACAAACCTTTGTTCTTTCGATATGCAATTAAGACCACTCTCACCATCGTCATTGATCTTTCTCCTTTTCGGTTTAACTTTGGGGCCTACATCATCTTTATTAACCAAATCAACTTTCAGCTTTGTTTTGATTTTCAGGTCTCCCACATTTCTTACTCATTATTCTAACAATATTAATCGAAGTAGGAGTATTA